TGGTATTGCCTACATGCATTTAAACGGTTATCTTGCCTCGTCCATGCAATGAATGCATGTTATTGAATGAGCGTGTTTTTTTAGAACATTAATTCAATTGCTCGGGATATTTCAGTGCTAGGCTATGATACATATTCATCATGTATTCAACTCCTCGTTACTCGCAAACTCCCCGTGATAGCACACAAATATTTCTGCGCGTTTTTGCTCGTTGTCAGCCTCTGCTTTTATGCAACAGACTAAAGCCTCCGCATGAATTCAACGAGTTATTTTATGATTGTTGGGGCAGTCTCCAGCTATACCTTAAACTTCTCAAAATACAGCCCGCTTCTGATTGGTTTTAATCACTGCACAAAAAATAAATAATGCAATCTTTATCTAATTCTGATTGGGTTGGCTCAGCCCACCCCTGCCCATGCCTGGAGCCGGCCCCGTATATAAATATATTATATATAGGTTTATATCATAGACTGTATAAAAACATGGACGTAGTGCCCGTGACGTCACCCATAGTTTTCTGAAGAGTTTTTGAAGCTCAAAGTGGGCGGAGCAAAGAGCAAAAAGGCAGGAGCTGGTTTCTGAGGTCACGCCCACCTAGCTCAACGGCAGTGTCAGCAGCGGCAATCCACCTGTCACTCAAGTGGCCACGCCCTTAATTATGCAGAACTTTAAGGCTTAATATAATTTAAACGGATGAGTTATAAAAAAAATTCACCCCCCTCACAGTTGTCATGAAGGGCAAAATTAGCTATATAGACCAAAACCACTTTTTGAACCAGGCTGTAAACGTGTTTTTTTTCTGCTGTAAAGTTGGGCATTTTAACATGGGGGAGTCTATGGGATTGACTCCCTTTTGCAGCCAGCCAATAGCGCCCAGTTGACGAATTACAGTTTAAGTCACTTCCGTGTTGGGTTCACGAGAGAGAGCGGGGGGTTGCCGCTTGGTTTATACAGTGGTGGGCCGTCAGGGCCAGCAAAGCCTTCTCAGAATCACTGATTTAGATTAATATATTTTTCCATGAATGCGTATTAAATTATTTCCAATAGTCTATTCTTTTCATTTCATAGCTTTTCTCTTGGTTGCACTGCTTCCAGCAGTGTATGTTTATATTAGAGCTTTTATCCAATCATATTTCAGCAATCGTGTTGCCAGGGTCAAAGAAATCTGCCTTAAGGCCTTCAGAATCAACAGTGCAGGCGTCTGTTAGCTTAAATCAATGGCAATGAAACCGTTGCTTTAACCAATCAGATTTGGTATATATATATATACACACATTTTTAATTATTATGGCTCACACAGTATAGTATGATATAGTCAGAATAGGGAGCTCACACTTGAAGAAAATTTGGTACAGTTGTTGATATTTATGTGGCCATGATAGCTTGTAATGTAAATTAATTCGATTTCATAACAGCATAGCAGAATATTTACATAAAATGCATGTACATTTTAATTGCCAATCAATGTCTCCCAATAATGTCTTTACATTCGCTTGATGAGTTCTTAAAAGAAAAAAAAAGAATAAAGTACAACCTGAAGGAGGATATATTTACTAAAAGGCCTTTTACTTGCTAGTGCTTCTTAAAATAACTTTATGCAAGTTACCTGTGTCAGCAAATGAAAAAAGATCTTCATATTGGGTGTCCAGCTCATTTCTGGTTTCCTTTTCCTCATTACTTGACAACATATCTGCACAGATGCCAGATATGATACAGTTTGACTTACCAAAACAAACAGGCTAAATGGGGGAATAATATAAACAATGACTTGCCAATTAGAATACATAAAACGGACTTACCTACAGAAGGATTGTTGGTCAGATGTTTCCTACATAGACAAAGAGTCAATGGTCACTTCATTTCATTTCCATTAGCCAAACAATGCATTTCATTACCTTGACCATTTTCAGAGATGTCAAACCTTGTGTCACTCCTCCAGCTGGACTGCAGAGCGTAGCTGAAGCGTTTGAATGGTTGTTCAAAACATCGTGTGTAAGTCGTTTTGGCCTCGGAGTCAGATTGGTCACTAAAATAATCATATATAGAATTAATTTAAGAAGTTAAATCAATGTTTGTTATTGTAAACTCGTTCCGAAAACACGCACGTCAGTATCGTCCTCATTGCGAGCAGCTGGAGTCCGGCGGCGTTTCTCTTCAGCGGCTCGATTTTCGAAATGTTTTTTCGATCTTGGCCGAATGAACGAACCTTGTCCAAAACAGAAATGGCACAATTCACAATGGTTAACAGTAAATATGTAGCTAACTTTCATAAAATAACGTTACATTTCGATTTTGGCCCTGTGGCTTCAATGATTCACCAGACAACGCCAACTGGCAAACAGTAACTACTAACGTTTTAGTAAGTTAGTTTTCTACCACTCACCATTTTAGAGTTAGCCTTCTGACCAACAATTAAAAAAAACATCTCAAGCTTTACGTAACGTAAACGTATCCATCAGCTGCTCTGATAGATGACAGGTGCTTTGTAGCAGAGGGAATTTTGATTCAGTGAATCGGAGCTTTGGCGGCAAGGTTATGAGAGATTCATTGAATCATTTACTTGATTCATTTTGAATCTTTTTTTTTACGGCGACAAGCATCCTTTATTTTCTGTATACAAATCTGTTAAGGGACTAGTTTAACCATTAAACGTTTTTAGAAAAGAAACAAAATCAGATGATAGAAATAATAATAATAAAGAAAAAAATTTCTTTTTAACAAATATTAAATTATCACATTTCACAGCTTTTTCTTTTCAAACTTAATATTGTTTATAGAAACCAAAAACAGTCGACTGTTTCCTCAGTATTTACATTTATACTAAATTTAGCCCACACTGGAATGCCATTGGCTACTATTCAGTGAAGCCAGAGGAAGCTCACCAGAATCATTTCTTAACTTTAATGATTCGTTCAAAACCTGTACAGCTGTGGTAGGGTGGATTTCGGGAACAAATATGTGATAAAACTTTAAAACTGGTCAAAACAATACAACATTTGTAACATGTAATGTACAGGTGCATCTAAATAAATTAGAATGTCGTGGAAAAGTTCATTTATTTCAGTAATTCAACTCAAAATGTGAAACTCGTGTATTAAATAAATTCAATGCACACAGACTGAAGTAGTTGAAGTCTTTGGTTCTTTTAATTGTCCCTAAACAGCTGTCAATATCAAACAAAAAAAATTAATTTAAAATTTTTAATCATTGATTGTAAACTACATTGGCACAATCATCAGAGATGGGCCAGTCAGAAGTAGGGTGATTCTATAATTGGAGATACATTTGGCATTGCAAAAAAAAAACTTTTCACTAACAGATTTTTTTTTCAGTATCTGAAAAATCTGATAAATAAAACATATTTAATTTTAATAATTCAGTGCTTGCCGAACACAAGTTACTTCCTTTTTTTACTTTTAATGAAAAAACAGATATCTTTATGGTATTTTTTGTCAACTATGTTACGGACAAATTAGCCAATATGTAGAAATAATAATAAATCATAACAGGAAAACTCCTTCTTGTTTCATTAGACAAACAGTCCTTACATTCCATCACTTGAAACTGAGATAATATTTCACCTATGCATACCTTAAAAATTAAAAAATACCTGTCTTCACAGAACCGTCAATTTGGAGCAAATATTTTTCTTCTGAAAATGTATTATATACAATATCCAGTTAAAAAAAGAAATGTTGTTGAAATATTATAAGGGTGCAAAAATAAATCAATAATGTTTATTAGGATTTTAAACAACACATTTTATTGTTTTTCTGTGAAAATAGTTCATAAACAGAGTTGACCCTTTAAGTAGCAGAATTGTAAAGTAACAGAATTGACAATTGTCCGATGGACTGTCAATTCTGTTACCGCATTGTCAGCATTGTTACGCTACCTTGGTAACAGAGTTGGACAGTAACAGAATTGACAGTTTTCTTTATTTTTTACCAAAAACTCCACTTGCTAGCATAAATGCTAAGAGCACATGGCACTAATGAAATCATGATTAAAAGACTTTTAAATAACACAAAGTGTGATCAATGAAAAAAATCTGTTTTCCTTTTGATATTGTGGTAACAGATTTAACACTTTATAATATAACTCTTGGTGTAAGAACTTTTAGATTAAAATATTTTCTTAGAGAGAGCACATAGACTTTTCAGTGCTTCAGATCTTAACAGTGAGGGAAAGTGACATCATTTCCTGTATCTTACATAGCTGTGGGAGATAATTCCACTCATTTAAAAGCAAAGTATGGTACGGTAACAGAGTTGACGCAAGATTTACGGACACACATTTTTATGAAAAAAAATGATGTTGTAGAATTAGGTAAATGGCTCTTTAGGGCTTTTATAAATAAAATGAATGAAATATTACAAAAATAAAAGTACAATAAAATATTTTGATTACGCAATGATACATGATGGAAAAATGCACTGACTAATTCGGACAAGAAACCATGATTTTCAGCTATTTAAGCAAAAAAATATTATATTGTTATGGACTGTAACATCTTGTAATTCATAACAATGAGTAACACAGTATTAAAAATATAACCATTTAAAAAAAGCAGGAAAAAATGTATGACTTCGGACACCAAATGCACCTGCAATTATAGAATCACTCAGTAGTTATTTGTGTAAACAATGCAAAACTAGAATGCAAAACATTGGCATTTGTTTCCCCATCTCATTTTTTATTTAATTTTTTTTCCATCACCATGTCCTTTTAGGGGCTCCGTAGAGCACTAGTAATCCAGATTTGGAAATCTGAAAAAGTGTGTATCTGGATCAGGGTGATCCAATCCCATTCTGATCCAGATTAAACTTTTTGAACAGCTGGCCCCAGGTCATAAAAGAAAAAAAAAAATCAAAACTATATTTTTCATTAAGATTGATTTCATTGACACATTATTTGAATTAAATTCTGAACGTTTTTGTATGCCGTAACATTTTACTAACCCTTTAATATGCAGTTTTATGAAATGCATGGACAAAATCTATTTTCACAAATGTTTATTTACTCAAAACAATTTATGCAAACACAATTATGGCCATACTGAGACAATACAAGATGACTCAGGTTCTCAACACAGAGAGAAGTAGATTCAAACCAATGACATCTAGCATCTCTGTTTAATTTGATCAGGCCTTTTACAAATCTGATATGATTTAATGCACAGCCCATATGCTATTCAATAGCTGAGCGAAATAAATACAAAACAAAACACATAAATGCAGCAACACTAGCAGCCAACGTCAGTTCAATTCGACATGACATCATCTGATCAGTAGTATCACGTTTGATTGCCACCAAAATAAAATGTACACAGTAACAATGAGTACTGTCCCTCATGCTCAATGTTGAATATGAAGGTAATACCACTTTCCATTCATTTGGTGAGTTTCTATTTTGCAGTCTATGAGGTGTAAGAATAATGTCACAATCAAGCACAACAGAAAAATATGATTTTCAAACAATCACTCATCAATTGTCAATGTATAACATTCACATGCTCCCTGGGTATTCGCAAAACAACCTGTGCCATAAGTTACTGTTGTCTTACACATGTTAAAGCCTCGTTGACATATTTTCATGTCATTTTTTGTTTGTTTGTTATTTACCCTGTCACTGGCTCATCCACATTCAAAAGTATAAATGTCCTCTCTATAGCTCAGCATTCATTTCCACCATGTCACTGACAAACTTGACATCAATATCTTTGCAGATATAAAAGATTCATAAGATATTACTGGGATTCTTCCTGATAGTGTCTGCTGTTTTTAGTCGTTTAATGGGATAGTTCATCTAAAAATGAAATTGTGTCATTATTTACTCACCTTCATGCCGTTCCAAACATGTATGATATTTTGGTTGTACAGTGAAAGCTTTCAATCTTCAATAGAGATTCAAAAAAATCTTACAAGTGTGCTCTATTCAGTTATTCACTTAAAATCTTGACATCTTCTCTAGCGCTTGTTGGTGTTTTCATTAGAATTTCATCAACTCAGTGATCACCTGGTCACAGGTGTACTTGAAGTTTGTAAGAAGCTCTAAGACTTGGAATATAGCGTATGAATCGTATTGGACCACTTTTATGGTTCATTCATTTGTGTCCTTTTTCAAGCTTGAAAGCTTCAGTGCCTATTTTCTGCAGTCATATGGAAATGAGCAACCTTCTTCGTTTATTCCATGAAGGAAAGTCATACAGGTTTGGAATAACGTGAGGGTAAGAAATTGATAACAGAATAGACATTTCTGTGTGAACTATCCCTTTAAAAGTGTACAGTCAGTGAGAGAGGCAGACTGAAGCTGGAGACACAGATGGATGGCGTGATACTGATCATTTCATACTGAATGGAGCCAAGACAGACCTCAAAGAAAATATGTATGAAAATCTCACAACAAATAACTGCATTCCAAGCAACATTTTTCTTCATTTTCTTTTTTCTTTTTCTTTAAAAAGGTCTTTCCCATCACAATATGTACATTTTTGTTTCAGTCCGTTGTGCTACCCACAATCTATGATACCTTTTCTTTTGTTCATTCTCTATGTCGTTATGTAAAACATGCTGTGACGGCTAGGATGTGTCATTGTTGGTGCTACTGTCTGGATGGGGGTGAGGACGGCGAGTGTTTGTTGATACCTATGTAGGGCATAAACCAGCGTCGGAGGACAAAGAGTTAGAGTATATATGGTGAGCCATACATTTGTAGGAAACTGAGAGGATATTAACAGCGTGCGATAGAGGGGAGTCATTCAAAGTGGTGGGGAGAGGAAATGATGAAGGGTTACGATGATGTGGAAGAGGAGGATGCTCAGTATTCATCCTGGTCCAAGTGGGCTTGCTCATCTATTTCATCATCTTCTGGTGGTGCAAAGCCATCCTGTATAAAAAAAAGAGCATTTTTAGGAAGATCACGGTATACTGCATTCAACACTGCACTGTATACAATTAAGTAACATTTTGTATATTCCAGTGATTATAATGTAGTTTTGTATTTGTACATTATGGTTCCTGAAGCGCGTGTCATTAGACTAGTTTTCTTAACTTTTTCATAGTGGTTCTAATTAAAACATCAGTAGCAACAATAGCTGGGTAGTAACTGATTACATGTAATCCGGGTTACGGAGTACTTGTAATTAGAGTATATTACATTTTAAAATGCTCATAATCAGATTACAGTTTCTTTTTTATAATGGATTACATATTATTTACACAATGGCAGTGAATTATTCATAATTTGATTCTCCCCAATTCTTATTTTTTCCTCTTTTAAAGATTTATTTCTAAAAATCCTACAGTGTGTACCATTCAGCTTTGACTATATTCACAAACAGACAGAAAGAAAGAAATATTTTAAGGAATATATTTTCTTTTTATATCAATGTTTATTGGAAAATAAAATATGTTTATTGGAAAGTTTAAAACAAGAAAAAAAACGTAATCTAAAAAGTAATCAGAATACATTACCTAAAATGAGTAACCTACACTACATTACTAACTACAGTTCCCTTTCATGGAAACATCGAACTGCGTCCTCTAGGGGTCGCTATGGGGTGGAACGCCTCGTCGTGACCCGTGTCTGAAGCATACATTGAAAAAACACCAACTCGTTGGCCGGCGACAGCCATGACGTCACTACCGGTGCGACTATAGTATAAATAGGCGCCGGGAGCACACATCATACTCTTCTTCGTCTTCATTGACTGTTTTGTTTGAAGCGTGCATTTCTGTGGTAAGAGTGATCTCTATTCATCTCATTATGGCGAGCACTAGCAAAGCGTTTAAGGATGTGTGCATCTGTGTTGACGTTGTTTAACATCTGATGACACACACGATCTATGCACTGCGAGCGTTTTTTCCAAGGAAAAAGCTCTGCTCTCGTTTGTCTCTCTTTTCGAGGAAAGAGGGGCAGCCATTTGCTTCCCGCGATTCAGGACCCACAGCTGCTGAGGCACGGATGGGAATGAGCTTGTGGGGATCGCAGGTGGATCTGGCCGATGAGTTTGAAGGGGGGTTTCCCTTTCGTGATCGTCGGCTGTGCACGAGAGTGAGC